CTAATGGGCCAGTTATTCTTTCTCAAAGGCAATTTAAGGACTTGGAAAAATGTAAACAAAATAACAAAAATGGATGTGTTCAGAAAAGATCCTAAATGACTCTAATAAAAAAAGTTTGCTTGCCTTTGAGGATGGAAACACTTAAAGCATGAATGATACTCATGTAGAAAGGATGTTATTAGTAACACATGTCCTAAAACAGTAAATTTCAGTTATTAGAGCAGTTTCTTTTCTTTTTTTAAAAAAGATGTTTTTATTTATTTCAGAGAGAGGAAGGGAGAGGAAGAGAGGGATAGATACATTAATGATGAGAAATAATCATTAATTGGCTGCCTCCTGCACTGCCCCTACTAGTGATTGAACCCACAACCTGAGTATGTGCCCTGACCAGAAATCGAACCTTGACCTACTGGTTTATGAGCAGACAGTCAATCACTGAGCTACACTGACCAGGCTAGAGCAATTTTTTAAACAGTTAGGTTTTATATTTTGAGTATGTTCCATTCAAAACTGCCAAGTGTCAGTTATTCCAGTAGGAAGAACTGACCACTTGCCATTCTTTTACTTTTTGGCATTTTCCCTAAAGTTTAGTTAAAAGCCTTTTCTTCTCTTTAAAAGTCTGATAAAAATTCTGCCCTAGACTAACTCACATTAGAGTATTTGTAGCTTCATACAGAAAAGCCTAGTGGTATTTGTATTGGAGCTAGGAAGTGAATAGAGCTTATCTTTTGGTCTAGGTAAGGGCCTCAATTCAATTGTTCTGCTTGGTATTTTTGGAATGAGGAGTGATTTCATTTTGAGTTGATTATTAAAGAGCTTTTTTAAGCTCCAATGTTTAAAATAAATTTCCTGGTCTTCCTTTTGAAGTTCAGCACCCACAAGTAAGACCTAAAGAAACCATGTCTGTCTTTAGTAGTTTTAAGTATTCTGTGATATCAAATTTAGGTTCTGAAATGTTTCTTTAGAGGCTTCGTGAAGGTAAAAGTCATCTGTGATTTAATTTCTCCCTAGATGTGGAGCTCGTTGCTATTGGAGCTTTGTCCCAAGTTCTCTTTCCATTATCCACTTGCTAAAAACCTGGATTGAGAGAACTCTTCCTCTCAAATCATTACCCCAGGATGCCACTTTGGAGAAATAATTTTCAGCAAATGAAACATCTTCTAGATCAGCGGTTACCAATCTTTTGAACATCATGGACCATCAGTGGTCCATGGACTGCCAGTAGGTGACTGCTGCTCCAAAGGTTTCCTTAAACTAGCAGTCGCCAACCTTTTGGACTTCACTGACCACCAGTGGTCCGCGGACCACCAGTTGGCAACCACTGTTCTAGATTGTCCTCACATAATTATCACTAATTTGACATAGAGGCACAAAAATAATGATAGGAGGAAATGGCAGGAATGATCAAGGAGGTCACCAAGAGAAATGAGCATTCTGAATACATAGCTTCTGGGGATGATCCCAACACTAGGAAATGGGGATCCGTTTTCTCACCTAATAGCTCCATGATGCTAGGAAGGTAGCATTTCTGTTTGTTTATCCTCACCCAAGGATATTTTTTCCCTTGATTTTTAGAGAGGGTGGGAGGGGAGAAAGAAACTTGATGTGAGAGAGATACATCAGTTGGTTGCCTACTGCACACACCCTGACCAGTCATCAGATTTAACCTGTAACCTGATTATGTTCCCTTGAGTGGGAATTGAACCCAAGGACTCTTTGGTGCTTAAGGATGAATATTTCTTGTTACATCTGTTAATTATTCTTTGAGTTTTGTTTCTTTTCTTCCTTTTAAGCATATTTTGAACCTTGGAGAGAAAATATCTGGCCTTTGGCTTTTTCATGACCCAGCAATACAGTGAGTGGTCAGAGGACTGGACTTGAAGACCCATTCAGACACAAAGTTTGCTTCAAGAATGAATTTGCTTTCATTTATAAGATAGGGAACAGATAAAAACTATTTATCTCTAAATACTACATTATAGGATTTTAGTTTCTATTAAATAGAAATTAAGTCATATGTTATTTCTTTTTATTACCTATATTCCTGTTCACTTTGAGACTGCTGGTTTGAGTCTGGCTAAAATTTATCTGTATCTGTGTGTTGAAGATATACATTAAATCAGAAATCATATTGGAAGATCATCTCTTCTGATAATTCACTGAACCACTCACCTTGGGCAGGTCATTTAGCCTCTTTGAACCAGTTTCTTCAGCAATTCAGAGACTAGCCTATATGTTCTTGCAACTCAGGTCCCAATCTGTGATCCCTTGTACTTTGTTCCATACTCACTTCCATTTCTTAGTACTATACTAGAGACCCGGTGCACGAAATTTGTGCACAGGGTTTCCTTAGCCCAGCCAGCATCCTCTCCAATCCAAGACCACTGGCTCCTAATTGCTCATCTGCCTGTCTGCCTAGTCACCCCTAACTGCCCCCCGCTTCCGCTGGTCTGATCTCCCCTCCCTGCCAGTCTGGTCGCTCCTAAATGTCATCATCCGTCTACACACACACACACACACACACACACACACACACACACACACACACACACCCGCTGGCCCCATCACCACTTACTGTTCTCCTCTGCCAACCTGGTTGTCCCAACTGCCGCCCTCCCTCGCCCCCTGCCAACCTGGTCACCCCACGCAGCCTGCTGTTCAGTTGTTTGGTCATCCCTCACTAACGCCCCTGCCGGCCTGGTCGCCCCACACAGCCTGCTTATTCAGTCATTTGGTTGTCCCTCACTAACCTCTGCTGGCCTGGTGGTAGACAGCCATCTTATGAGGGTGTGATGGTCAATTTGCATACTACCTCTTTATTATAAAGGATCTCATTGGGGCAATTTGGAGAACAAGACAGGGATTCACACTCAAGGATGAAAATTTACTCAAGAGCTCAGATGAACCACAGACTATTTTTTTGTAAGAGAAAATTTATTTGGCAAATTACAGAGGTAGAAAAATTCCTAGAAGAAATGGGCTTAGTAAACAAGTTACAATAGTAAAGGAATGGTTCTTGGAGCTTGGGAGTGGGGAAGTTAATGGTAATGTACTAGGGAGTAAGGGGGAAGAGGGGTGGGGTAAAGGAAAAACATGGGCATGTTCCCAGGAGGGAGAATGCACTGGGTCCTCCATCCTAGGGGTTAAGGATGGACATTTCAGGGGAGGTCCCAGGGTATGGTCTCAATAGAATATTCAGCAGTTTTCCAGGTGTGTCCATTCATGATTGTGGTCTCCACTGATTGATTGGCCAGCACCAGGGCAGGGGGGATTATTCAAGGCAGCTAGTCCTGGTGTCAGCCTTGGCTGGTTTTGTTGTTTATCTGGGCCTGGAACTGAAATACAACTGAGGCTAGATGTTATCTCTAGGGAGAAATGGTCAGGGAGTCCAAAATGTATGACTAGAGATATATTAGGGAAAAGTCACCCTGCGGACGAGGTCCCACCTTACAATTGATTGTCCATTACTAGGTATCTGGGGCTTTCCATTCTGGTGACCTTCTTTACCTGGCCCATCCTTGCTCTGCTCATGTCTGTCTAACTGCCTACAAAATCATTTCCCCCCCACCCCCTAGGGATCTTAGCTCTGAAATCTCAGAGAAAAGGAGTGCAGAGTGTCTTCTGTAGCAGCTTCCTGCTGAAAAGGGTTGACATTTTTCTCCAGAGCCAAGAGAATCTTGCTGTCTATCAGAGACTATGAAGCCTAGGTATGGAAGGAGATGGCAGTGGTGTCTAAAGGTCCCGTGGATGAGTAAGGCTTGTAACCTGGTGGAGACAAACTGTGTTACAAAACATAGTATAGTATTATTGGGCAAAAGTTGGAACGACAAGAGTTATGACAAATGGTCCAGTGGAAGGAAAAAGTTTTAGTTCTAATAATTCCTAGTAAAAGGATGGGAGAAAAATAAAACATTAGTTTGGAAGGTTTTAGCCAAATATTTATAAACATTAGAAAAATTCAGGATCCAGTTCAATTCATAGGTGAAAAATAAAACCTTGAAGATAATTAATTGAATTTGTGTCTAATATTCACAGCTGTGTATTAGAGTCTATTGAAGTACAATTTCCCCCCCTAAAATCACCCTCAAACTGTATTACATCTAGTTTCAATTTGACCTGATTGTTTGCATAAACATAACAAGAATAGCAATAGATTGTGTAGGCTTTTTAAAAATCTGCTTTGCTGGAATCTCATGATTGAGCTTTAATGAGCCCGTTAGGGCAAAGAAGCCATCAGGTTTGATTGCAATACCTGTAGACCTGCGTGAATTCCTCACATTCTTGAGGTTCCTTCCTTGCCATCTCTCAAAAAAGCAGCCCTCGTTCCTTACTTGGAAAGACTGTCAGTTTACATTCCTTCAAGTTTCCTGGTGACACAGACCATTCTTTACACTAGGTTGGGGTTATGGAATATTGCTGATGGAGAAAGGAAGCAGGGACTTACCCTGGCAGGGTAAATGCAAGAGAGACTTTGTATCTACTATAGAAATACTAATCTGGCAGACACTCACTTGTTTTCTGGTAATTAGAATATGCAGGTGTTCAGAATGTTTGTCTTAAGAGAGAGAACACTTTTGTGTGTGCATTTGTGTTTTGTTTTTTTAAGTGAGGACTATTAAATAGGGAATCAGTTTTAATTCTCTTTTACTATATTCTTAAAAACAAAACAAAAACATTTCAATTGATGATAAGATTTTATGTTTTTTGGCTGTCAGGCAAGATCTTTTTTCAAGCATTGCATTTCATAAGTATTCTAAACAGGTTTGTCTGGTGTTCATTGGTTGCTCCTGCCATAGTCACTTCGTTTTAATGATTTTGGAAATTTTCCTTATACTTGCTTGTAGCTTCCAGCATGTTTACTGTGTTTGTGACATACATAATCAACAAATAATAATCATTATGAAGTACCTGCAAGATTAATCAATTTCATTTCATGTACATCCTTGTATAAAAAAACCTGAATTTCTCACTTCCCCCTTTTCTACCTCCCCTTTCAACAGTAAAAAGAACATAAGAAAGCAGCGAATGAAAATCTTATTCAATGTTGTTCTTGAAGCTCGTGAGCCAGGTACAGGCAGAAGACTTTGTGATCTATTTATGGTTAAACCATCCAAAAAGGACTATCCTGATTATTATAAAATTATTTTGGAGCCAATGGACTTGAAAACAATTGAGCATAACATCCGCAATGACAAATATGCAGGGGAAGAAGGGATGATGGAAGACATGAAGTTGATGTTCCGGAATGCCAGACACTATAATGAGGAAGGCTCCCAGGTAAGGACATATTCAAAGTCAGTTTTCATTCAAGTTTTTTTCAGTGTAGCTAAGACACATTTTTTTTAAATATATATATATATATATATTTGTATTTCAGAGAAAAAGGGAGAGGGAGAGAGATAGAAACATCAGTGATGACATATTCAGTCAACCATTCTTCAGAGAAAGCACCTAAGCAGGAAATGTTGCTTTTCATAGATCAGATTCCAGACTGTGAACTCATGCTAAATCCCATTTAACCTGGGATTTGGTTTGAGAAATTCTCTCCAACTATTAGATATTTTTAATTTTTATTGAGTTAAGTCTGCTACTTTGAGGGTCCACTGAAAAAGAGATTTATGAAGAAGAAAACACATGTAAATATGTTTTAAAACTTCTGTATTCACTTACAATGATTCTACTATAGTAGTTCTCAAATGTTAGCATGCATGTCTGCACATTAAAATCACGTGGAAAAAGCTTAAACAACAAATCAATTGAAGCCTAACCCACTACACAAAGATGTAATTTTGTTGCTTGATGGTGATCTCAAGCTTTATTTCTTTAGTTCCAAACTATTCTAACCTATATTTTTAAAACTTTTTATGGATATGTATTCTACTTCATTAGTAAGTATTTTAGAAAATAATTGTAAATATATTTATGGAATATAGGTGTACAACGATGCACACATCCTGGAAAAGTTACTCAAAGATAAAAGGAAAGAGCTGGGACCACTGCCTGATGATGATGACATGGCTTCTCCCAAACTCAAGCTGAGTAAGGCAACCTCACATTTTGTTATTCCCTTTAGTCTGTCAAGAATAGATTACTGGTTTACTGAAAAATACTTAATGGTGAATGTATTTGAACTTGCACTCCAGCAGAGAGTGTCTTTCTTCCTCTCAAGCATTCACTTCCATATTTTAAGTTGTTAAACAGTGCAAAGCATGTAGGAATAGAATATAATGTCAATGGTGTTTCTTGAACGTGATAGATTTTTTATATATATATTTTATTGATTTTTTACAGACAGGAAGGGCGAGAGATAGAGAGCTAGAAACGTCGATGAGAGAGAAACATCGACCAGCTGCCTCCTGTACACCCCCCTCCAGGGATGTGCCCGCAACCAATGTACATGCCCTTGACCGGAATCGAACCTGGAACCCCTCAGTTCGCAGACCGACGCTCTACCACTGAGCCAAACCGGCTTCGGCATGATGGATATTTTGTAAATGCTAGTCAGAATAGGTATTTTTTTCTATATATGATGCTTGGGTATAGTGGCAAATGTTGGTTTTGTATGTTTGCTGATTACTAGAATTAAAAATGAATCCCAGCAATTTCTCCTAGATAGAATTTGAGAAGGTAGGGATGTCCAGCCACTGTACTATCTTTAAGTTAACTTTGTATTTCCTATAATTGGAGCCAGAGACTTGATCAGATTTATGTTTGATCCTCATCCCCTCCTTTTGATACAAAGTCCAACATCAGAGGTAATATATTGTCTTCCATCAGGTGGCATGTGATATTTGGTTGTTTCTGTCCATTATGTTAAGAGCTATTGATTCATTAAAGAGATATAAAAGGAGTGATAATTTTATGTTAACATTTCTTCCTCAGTTACTAGCTGGAATACTTATATAGAGAAACTTTGCCTCATTCGATATTGGATTACCTGGTGGTACAGTTTTTGGTTGTTTTTGTATTTTGAAAGGATAAAAGCTAGGTTTTCCTCCCTCCCCCCTTTATTTACCATTTTTCAGAATACTGCATTGGTTTACTGACATTTCCAACATTTACCCAGTTATTTGTTCACTGGCCGATGCCCTCTTGCTCCCTGTGGGGAGCGGACCTAAGCCATCAGTTGGACAACCTTAGCACTGCCACGGAAATGTGAGGGGCTCCTGCCACCGCTGTTGCAACTCACCAGCCGTGAGCCTGGCTTCTGGCTGAGTGGCATCCCCCTTGTGGGAGAGCACTGACCAGGGGCAAGTCCTCCGCTGAGCATCTGCCAGAGACTTGATGGTCAGTGTGCATCATAGCGACCAGTTGTTCCACCGTTCGGTCGATTTGCATCATTTGCCTTTTATTTTATAGGATTTTTATGTGTCATTAAGAACTACTAGATTTAAACATATTGCTGAATTTTAACTAATTTAGTTAATGTCCTTATTGATGCTCATGTTGTCCCAGGCTGGCTGCTATATTCTTTTGACATGGCCTTGGTCATCAATAAAATTTTTCTTTTTACTGTTGTGTTTTAAAATATTCTAGGCTCATCTTGTACAGAGTGGGAATCGGAGTTACTGACATTAGTATTTGAAATTAGTATTTCAAAACTACATGTTCAGTCAAAACTATATAGAATATACTACTACTGGGTTGGTCATTGTTTCTAGGTTTTTCATTGGACATACCTAGGAAGGGTGTGTATGTGTGTTTTATATTTAAAGATAAAATACATTATAAGTTCATACTATTACTTTCAGTTGAGATGTAAAGCTACAAGGTTTTTATTTAGTGTCCTGTTTTAACATCTATCTCTTTTACTCATGATGATGCTCTCAGTTCTCAAGGATTCCACTGGTGATGGAATTAGAATGCCACATAACTACTCATTTTCTTTATTCTCCCATATTCATATAACAGTATTTACTCTCCAACCAAAAACATGATTATTGAAACAGAATAAATTTTTCCCAGTTCTTTTTTTTTGCAATAGAATATATTTCACTAGAGATATGATAATTATTATGTTTTACAAATCACTTAGAATAGTCTCTTTCTACCAACTACGTACAAATTTAGGTTCTTTTATTTTATCGATTTTACACTAACTCTTTTTTTCAGGTAGGAAGAGTGGTGTTTCTCCTAAAAAGTCAAAATACATGACTCCAATGCAGCAGAAACTAAATGAAGTATATGAAGCTGTAAAGAACTATACTGATAAGAGGGGTCGCCGCCTCAGTGCCATATTTCTGAGACTTCCCTCCAGATCTGAGCTGCCTGACTACTACCTGACCATTAAAAAGCCAATGGACATGGAAAAAATTCGAAGTCATATGATGGCAAACAAATACCAAGATATAGACTCCATGGTTGAGGATTTCGTTATGATGTTTAACAATGCCTGTACATATAATGAGCCTGAGTCTTTGATCTACAAAGATGCCCTTGTCCTACACAAAGTCCTGCTTGAAACTCGGAGAGACCTGGAGGGAGATGAGGACTCTCACGTTCCAAATGTTACCTTGCTGATTCAAGAACTTATCCATAATCTTTTTGTGTCAGTCATGAGTCATCAGGATGATGAGGGAAGATGCTACAGTGATTCCTTAGCAGAAATTCCTGCTGTGGATCCTAACTTTCCAAACAAACCTCCTCTTACTTTTGACATAATTAGGAAGAATGTTGAAAATAATCGCTACCGGCGGCTTGATTTATTTCAAGAGCATATGTTTGAAGTATTGGAAAGGGCAAGAAGGATGAATCGGTATGTTTTCAAAGACATTTCTTTTTTTTCTTTTTTTTAAATTGTGATCTTGATTGTAAAACTGAGGAAAGAATTCTGCTTTGATATACTATTTCAGCTTAGATGCATGATTATAGTTGGTGGAGTGCTATTTTGAGTACTAATTAACCATAACTTCTAGAGAGAAAGCATCTTGCTTGATTAGGACTGATGAGAAGAAGGAATAAGACAAAATTAGAGATCTGTTGAAAAGCAAAACTTAAAATACAGCCTTTCACAAATTTTTAAGAGAGACAGTGGAAGGAAGGGGGAAAGACAGAGAAATATCAATGTGAGAGAGACAGAGAGACAGAGAGACAGACATTGATTGGTTGCTTTCTGCTTCAAGGGCCAGGGATCGAACCTGCAACCAAGGTACATGCCTCTAGCCGGAATTGAACCTGGGACCCTTCAGTCCACGGATTGACTCTGTATTCACTGAGCCAAACCGGTTTATGTCACAAAATATTTTTTTAAAGGATAAATTTTGTAATTAGAAATCATCATATGGTTTTCTTTTGAATGTTGATTTCTATTCAAGTATATTTTAAATAAATTAAAATTGTTCTAATGTATTGATCTGAGATTATACTGATTTAAATTTGTCACCATTTTAAGTACCTAAAAGGACTTTTTTTTTTCTTTTTGATCCTTACTGGAGGATATTTTTCCATTGGTTTTTAGAGAGAGGGAAAGACATAAATATCATTGTGAGAGAAACATTGATTCGTTGTCTCCTGCACAAGCCCTAACGACGGCCCAGGCCAGGAAGGAGTCTGCAACTGAGGTATATGCTCTTGACTGGAATCAAACCCGGGACTCTTCAGTCTGCAGGCGGACACTCTGTTCACTGAGCCAAGTGTCCAGAGCAGAACTTTTTTTTTTTTAATCTCAGATTTCTAACTTTAAGTACCTTTTGCTGACATTAAATGTTCTAAAAGAAGCAATCAAATTTAAATTTTCATCAGGCTTAAATTCCTTTTAATTTTGATTTGTCATACATTTTTGCCACATAACAATAGTATGCTCAACTGTTAAAACAATTTCAGTTCAGCAATTACAGTGTGTTTTTTTTATTCTCTTGGAGTCACTTGGAGAAATATAAAAAGTTAAAGATTCTACCTTCTTAGAGCTTACAGTCTATCATGCTTAGAATTAGACATTTAGGTAGTTGGCATGGGATAATTCTTTCTGAGGAGTTTGTGAAGCCTACATTTGTTTTGAATCTTGAAAAAAAAAGTTAATAGTAATGTTTGCTATTCCTGTTTAGCACCTATTCATTGTAAATCACTATGGTAAGCACGTTATGTAAATAATCTGCAAATTCTAGATAATCTCTAGTATAGCCATCCTGGGTGATAATCTTCCTAGTTTTCATGTGAAATAGAAATGTACAGCCTGGCCCATGTGAATCAGTGGAAGTGCACAGAAAGAAGTTGCCCAAAGCCACATAACTATTATAGTAAGTATGGTGGCTTGTTTTGTAACCCACTGTAGAGTCCTAACTGAGACAATCCCCAAGACACCAGTCATGGAGCACATGAATGATAAGGCTTGAGCAGCTCTATGCACTAAGAACTTAAAGTCTGATGATTGTAATAGGACCTATGCTTAGGGAAAAATAATTCCAGGCATGAGACAACATATAATAAAATGATATTTAATAAAGATGATGGAGTAAGGAACTCTGAACTGGAGTTTTAAAAAGGCTTGAGACATCAGGAAAAATGGAAGCATGGGTGAGATTCATATAGGACAAGTGGTATGAGTGATAGCATAGGGTTAGGAAAGGAATATGGTGTGTTCAAGGAACAGGTGGAGTTGGGTTCAGATTGGAGAGGCCCTGGAGTGAAATGGTCCTTATTCCATTCAGGAAATGGTCCTTATTCTTCAGCAGTGGAAATAGAATAAAGAGAAAGACCAAGGGTGGGGGGAGGGGTGTAGTGCTCACGCACACATGCGCATGCGTTTTGCAATCAAATCTGTGTTTGTCAGTTATTTTCATTCAACAAATGTTGATTGAGTGGCTATCAGTAGCATTATCTGGATGCATGGGATACACCAGTGGACAAAACAGACAAACCCTGCTTTCATGAAGTTTAGACTTCTGACTTCTGTTCTTGTTCTCAGTTTACTTAAGTAGTCTAAAGTCACTCTCCACCACATCCCCATTATATCTTGGTGTTAGTTCTATGAGTCTTTAAAAGTTCATTTGTTTCTTAGATTATTAGCAATTTATCTTATATAGGTAACATTATTATTTTAAGAATTGATCAGATTTGTATCCCAAGGAAATGAATTTTTTTTTTTCATTTTCCTGTTGATGTGACTGATGTTTGCCTTTTGAAGCTTGGGAGATAGTGTCTAAGGTTATTTATATAAGAAAGTGATGCATTTCACTCTAATGCCCAGAGCTTTGTTGTAAAACATGAGGAATGAATATCATACACAGTACTTAAGAAAAATTCATGCTGCCCAGACATTCTGGCTCAGGGTTTGAGCTTCAAGCTATAAACCAGAAGTTCAGGGTTTGATTCCCTGTCAGGGCACAGGCCCGGGTTGCATGCTCAATTCCTGGGGGGGGCGGGGGGAGGGGAGGCGGGCGCGGGGAGCAGGCATGCCGGAGGCAGCCATTCCATGATTCTCTCTTACAATTGATGTTTCTGTCTCCTTCTCCCTTCTTCTCTGAAACATACATACATACATACATACATACATACATTCATGAGTGTGTATATGTATGTATGTATATATATATACACACACACACACGTGTGTGTGTGTGTGTGTGTGTGTGTGTGTGTGTGTGTGAGAGAGAGGCCGGTGCACAGGGGGTGGGTGTGTCCCTCAGCCCAGCCTGCACCCTCTCCAATGTGGGATCCCTCTCACAATCCAGGACTGTTGGCTCCCAACTGCATCTGCCTGCCTTCCTGATTGCCCCTAACTGCTTCTGCCTGCCAACCTGATCACCCCCTAACCACTCCCCTGCCAGCCTGATTGATGCCTAACTGCTCCCCTGCCAGCCTGTTTACCCCTAACTGTCCTCCCCTGCAGACCTGGTCACCCCTAACTGCCCTCCCCTGCAATCCTGGTCCCCCCAAACTGCTCTCCCCTACAGGCCTGGGTCACCCCCAACTGCCCTGCAGGCTCAGTTGCCCCCAACTTCCCTCCTCTGCTGGCCTGGACACCCCTAACTGCCCTCCCCTGATCACCCACAACTGCCCTCCCTTGCAGGCCTGGTCTCTCCCAACTGCCCTCCCCTGCTGGCCATCTGGGGGCAGCCATCTTGTGTGTTGGAGTGATGGTCAATTTGCATATTACTCTTTTATTAGATAGGATAGAGGCCTGGTGCATGGGTGGGGGCCAGCTGGTTTGCCCTGAAGGGTATCCCAGATCAGGATGGGGGTTTCCTTGGGGCATGAGGCTGCCTGGGTGAGGGGCCTGTGGTGGTTTGCAGGCTGGTCATGGCCCCTGGAGACTCAAGTGGAGGCCCTGGTATCTGGGATTTATTTATCTTCTATAATTGAAACTTTGTAGCCTTGAGTGGAGGCTTGGGCCTGCCAGGGTGTGGGGAAAGCTTAGCTTCCTCCATTGCCAGGGAAACACAAGCCTCCTGCTCTCTCCGTGACCACAGCCATCTTGGTTGGGTTAATTTGCATGCTCGCTCCTGATTGGTGTGTGTTGTTTGTGGGTATAGAGGCATGATTGCTAATTTGCATATTGTTTTTTTATTAGTAGGACACACACACTAGAGGCCCAGTGCATGGATTCGTACACCAATGGGATCTCTCAGCCTAGCCTCCACCCTCTCGCAATCTGGGGCCCCTTGGGGGATGTCGTGAGAGCTGTTTTCAGCCTGATCCCTGCCAAGCCAAGGGACCCTACTGGTGCACAAATCCGTGCACCTGGCCTCTTGTACACATAAAATATCTTTGGTTAATCTCTTCCTACCCTCTCCCCACCCCCCTTTTCTTCTGTGATTCATCAGTCCTGTTTCATGTTTCCATGCCTGTGGTTTCCACTCCTGCATTGTGCATCTGTCCCCTGGTGGTCAGTGCACATCATAGCTACACTATGGTCGGATAGTCACTTGTATGTCAATAGATACTCTTGATGTTGTTATAGGACAGATTCTGAAATATATGAAGATGCAGTAGAGCTTCAGCAGTTTTTCATTAAAATTCGTGATGAACTCTGCAAAAATGGAGAGATTCTTCTTTCACCAGCACTCAGCTATACTACAAAGCATTTGCATAATGATGTGGAGAAAGAGAAAAAAGAAAAATTACCAAAAGAAATAGAGGAAGATAAACTAAAACGAGAAGAAGAAAAAAGAGGTTAGTTTCTTTAATATCAAGAAATAAACTATACGATTTTCTAGCTTGCCTTATAATTAGCTGTGGAGTAGAGTTCTGTTTGAATAAATGAAGACTCAAGGTATTAACACTTTCAAAATAGACATGGTAATATGGAAATTTTTTTTATCAATATCAATTTGGTCATCAGACTAGAAAAAGATTAAAAGTTACATGTGATACATCTATTATCCTGATATTTCAGAAACATAGTCAATTAATTCACAAGTGTGGGAGATTAATACTATTTGTAGATAAAAACCTAAGGGGCCCAACTACGGTTAGAAAACATTCTCAACTTTCTAGCCCCATTATTTAGCAATATGGGTCTACTCATACAGACTCTAGGCCAGATAAGTAGAGGGTATTTTGACTGAATCTGATAACTAGAAGGAATTTTTTTTAAATATATTTTTATTGATTTTTACAGAGAAGAAGAGAGACAGATAGTTAGAAACATCGATGAGAATCATTGATCAGCTGCCTCTTGCATGCCCCCTACTGGGGATGTGCCTGCAACCAAGGTACATGCCCTTGACCGGAATCGAACCCAGGACCTTTCAGTCCACAGGCTGACGCTCTATCCACTGAGCCAAACCGGTTTTGGCTAGAAGGAGTTTTTAAAATTTTAATTATACCAACCTACAATATATATATTTTTAAATATATTTTATTGATTTTACACAGAGAGGAATTGAGAGGGATAGTTAGAAACGTCGACCAGCTGCCTCTTGCACACCCCCCACTGGGGATGTGCCCACAACCAAGGTACGTGCCCCTGACCAGAATTGAACCCAGGACCTTTCAGTCTGCAGCCCGACGCTCTATCCACTGAGCCAAACTGGTCTCAGCCCAACCTAAAATATTACTTCGATTCATTTGTCATAAGTTAGAAATATTTTGACAGTGGGAGCTTTTATTAGAAATGTGTTCATTGCTGATAAAGTTCAAGTTCACATAGATACCTAGAATATATGACTTCCTAAGAGTTATACTACTATTTAGCATCAAATCTGCTTTGTGTTGTTCCCCCTGCCCCAGGCAAAAAAAACAAAAAAACAAATTAAGTTGATTTAAACAAATTTTTATAAGCAATGGCATATGTAAAAAGGAAGAGAAAGGAACCTGGTTGGTAAGAATAATTTTACCAGCACAGGCTAGCTGCAAAATCCAGCAATTTTGCTGTCAGAGGGGATGAACTCAATGGGAAGGTGGGGGGAGAGAAGGGTCTCTGACTTTGCCAGTTAAAAGTGATTGATGCAAAAATAAATGGGGTAAACCTACAATTTTATTAGTCCGGAATGACTTAGGCATTGAGGAATATTAGCTATAGAAGGGGTAAGATAAGTTCTCCACACAGGCTTAGATGATTGGAAAACTTCATGTGCAAGGGAAATAGGAGAACTGGATTTAAAGCAAAATGCAAGTGATACAATTTTGATTGTATTCCCCAAGCCACACTTGTCATAAAGACATGACATAACAGACTAAATACAGATAAATCATTAGAGGTTGAATCCTTATAGTACTTGAGTACAATCACCACCCAAATCATTCGTTGGTTGTTAGCTGTACAGATTTAGGAGCAGCCCTTTATCTCATGTGTCTTAATATACTTACAATGGGAGTCTCAAAGGAGAGAGAAAGAAGAGGGGAGAAAAGTATTTGAATACATAATGGCTGAAAATGTCTCAAATTTTATATAAACATTAACCTACAGTTCTAAGAATACCAAGTAAGAGCACACAGAGAGAACCACATCTAGATATATCATAATCAAACTACTGAAAGAAAAAAACCTTGAAAGCGCAAAGCAAATCATCGTGTTAAAAATAAATAAATATGATAATGGCTCATAAGCAATAGAGGCCAGAAAGCAGTGGAATGATATTCAGAGTGCTGAAAGGGGAAAAAATTGAACCAATAATTTTATATCCAGCAAAACAATCCTTCAGAAATGAAGCTGGAATAAGACAGTCCCAGATAAACAAAAACAGAGAAACCACTGCTGGCAGATCTTCCTTATCAGAAATAATGAAGGAAGAGCTTTGGGCCAAAAGAAAATGATACCAGATGATAACTAGAATCCATAAGAAGTTTTGAGGAGTATTGTAAATGCTAAATATGTGGGTAAATGTAAAAGACTGTGTTTGCATTTTCCCCCCACTTATTTTCTTTTTAAAATATTAGGTTATTTAAAGGGATTATAATACTATTATTATAACATTTATAGAATTACAGCAGATCCTCAAATTTTGTTCAGTATTATTTCATTATGATATTGATGAGATGAAGTAAAACCTTAATTCTTATTCATATCAATTAGCCTATAGAAAAAATTTGTTATGCATCATTTTGTTGTTGTTGTTAATCCTCACCTGAGAATATTTTTCCATTGATTTTTAGGGAGAGTTGAAGAGAGAGGGAAAGACAGAGAGAAACATCGATGTGTGGGAAACACATCTATTGGTTGCCTCCTGCATGAGCCCCGACCAGGGCCCGGGCCGGGGAGGAGCCTACAACCAAGGTACGTGCACTTGACTGGAATCAAACCCTGGACCCTTTTGTCCACAGGCTGATGCTCTATCCACTGAGCCAAACATCTAGGACTGTTATGCATCATTTTGCCTAAAGTTGATTATCAACTGCTAAGTGAGGACTTAATGTATATGACAGTAGCAGTACTAAAAAAAAGAGCTATATTGGAGCAAAGTTGCATTATTTAATGAAATTAAGTCAGTATTAACCTGAAGTTGATGGTGGTAAATTAAAGATGCATATTGTAATGCCACTTGAAAAAAATTAGCAAAAGAATTTAACACAAGAATTAAAATGAGACTCTAAAGATGTTTGCTTAATATAAATGAAAGCAGTAAAGGAGGAAAAAGGAGCAGTAAGACATATTAAAACAAATAGCAAAATGGCAGGCATGAATTCAGTTATATCAGTAATTACCTTACATATTGTGAATAGGCTAATAACCATGCCAATCATAATGCATAGATTATCAGACTGAATTTACAAAGTAAGATTCAACTATATATTGTCTATAAGAAAATCATTTTAACCCAGCCAGTGTGGCTCAGAGGCTGCATGTCAACCTGTGAACCAGAAGGTCCCTGTTGGATTCCCAGTCAGGGCACATGCCCAGGTTGCAGGCTTGTTCCCCAGTAAGGGATGTACAGGAGGCAGCCCATCAATGATTCTTTCTCATCATTGATGTTTCTATCTCTCCCTCTCCCTTCCTCTCTGAAAGCAATAAAAATATTTTCTTATAAGAAAGAATAATTTTAGATTTAAAGGCATAAATAGGTTGAAAGGAAAAGGAGGAGGAAAATATACCATGAAAACAGTAACCATAGTGAATTGGAGTGGCTATATTAATATCAGACAAATAGAATTTAAGAGGAAAAGTATTATTAGAGATTAAGAGGAATATTTCCTAATGTTAAAAGGATCAAGACATTTGAAATATATAATATTTATAAATGTATATATACTTAAGAGTGGATCCTAAAAAAGTGTGATAGAAAAGTGACATACTTGAAAAGAGAAATAATTCAACAATTATAATTCAGTACTCCTTTATCAGCAATTAATAGACCAACTAGACCAAAAATCATCAAAAATATAGAATATTGAATAACAACGTTATAGACTGTGTTCACCCCAAACCCCCAAAAATTTATATTATAGCCTAATCTCCAATGTTACATTATTTAGAGATGTGGGAGGTTTGCATGTAGTCATCATGCTGGGACTAGTGCTAGTAGAAGAGGATAGATAAGAGGAAGAGACAGCTGTCTATGAACCAGAAAGTGAATTCTCACCAGATACCAAATCTGCTGGCACCTTGATTTTAGACTTCTTAACCTCCAGATCAGTGAGAAATAAATGTTTGTTGTTTCAATCACTCAGAATATGGTGGATTTTTTTATAGCAGTCTGAGCTAAGACAAGGACTATTAACCAGCTAGACCTAACTGACATGTGTAAAATACTATACCCAGTGACTGCAGTATACACATTCTTGTTGAGCAGCATAGATCATTATTTAGGATAGACCATGTACTAGGTCATAGAAACAAAGTTTCAGAAAATATAAAAGGATTGAAATCACAAGTTTGTTCTCGGTAAACAGTGGGATTAGATTAGAAATGATAAACAGGAAAAATCTGGGAAGTCCCCAAATATTTGGAAATTAGGCAGTACCTTTCTAAGCCATGAATCAAAGAAAATCACAAGGGCAATTTTAAAAATCTTGAACTGAATGAAAATGAAAACATTAAATGTATGGGTTATACCTAAAGCAGTTCTTAGTAGAAAGTTTATAGCTTTTAAATATATATATATATTAGAAAGCAATAAAAATATAAAATCTCTATTTCCACCTCAAGAAGTTAGAAAACAAAGAGTAAATCAAACATGAAGTAGAGAAAAGAATAAAGATCAAAATGGAAATCAGTGAAAGAGGAAACAGAAAATGCCAATGCTATAAGGGGTATGAAATTTGGGACCACCATGTTATTTCTATTGACAAAATTTCTATAGAATTTTTTTATTTACTTGCCACTTTTCTTGGCAATGCAAAATTAACCCTGTGCTGACCAGTCCTGAGTATATTTGTGTTTCTGTGTCTGAACATTGCGGACCGGTCTCAAGTTAACCTGTGGTGTCTTTTTCTCAACTTGTCAGTCAGTATTTCCAGAGACCTGAGGAGCAATACCTCTAATTCTTTCCATCCTTTTATTATGGCAAAAGTTAAAAAAAAAAAAAAAAAAAAAAAAAAGATGTGTCACGGCAGAGAAGAACGTACGAATGATTTATATGCAAACACTTTGTTTAATTGGCCAAGTGACTTTGGAAGTCAGTTGGAAGATAGTACTTTGTCGGAAGATAGTAATGAGTCTGACATTAGACATCACAAAGGCAAAAGAGAAATGTGATGGTTAGTATCTGAAAGTGAAAGTGATTCTAAAGAAT